GGCTGCGGCGACCACGGGCGCGAGTCCGGCGACGGGCCGGGCGCCGGGTGCGACGGAGAGTCCAGGCCCGAGTCCTCCACGTTCTCCGGCGACGAGGAGGAGAAGGGCGACGAGGATGACGTGAGCACGTAGGCGCGGGAGGCTGTGGAGACGCTGGGGTTGGGGAGCGTAGCAGGGCCCCCCCAGCACCCCGAGTGCCCGGGCCCCTCAGCGCTGTCCTTCCCCTGCCTGGAGCGGCTGCTCACCCGAGAAATCCTCCGCTTCGAAGGACTCCAGCGGGGGCCCGAAGAGAGCTGCCATGGGCAGCGCCGCGGGCACCGTGTCGGGCGCCGCGGCTGGAGGCACGTGCCCGGTGCTGCTGCGGGCGAGGGGACGTGGCAGCGCCCATGTGGCAGCGCCCACGTCCCCTCCTCGGGCTGGGCCCTGCACAGACACGCAGCCCTGCAGACCTCTGCGGGGAGCTCTGCGCTTCACCCCGTACCTCTTCCCCGGCGCCTCCGGACACTCCTTCCCAGCGCTGTCACCTTAACGGAGACATTGGGGACGTTGCAGAGCCACCGCTGCCCCGCGAGCCAGGGGACCCCGCGGTGCCACCTCACCTGCTATGGGGGTCTCCTGGGGGTCCGTCTCGGGCAGGGCAGGTGCCAGGGCGGCTGCGTGGCCTGGCGGGGGAAGAAGGAGGTCAGGAGACATCAGGCGACAGGGACCGCCGGATGGAGCCCCCGGCACAGCCGGCTGGGGAGGGACACAGGGACGTGCCGGGGGGCACGTACGGGACGACTGGCGCTTCACGGTGCCCTGCAAGAGATTTGGGGTGGGGATAGGGTCAGCGTGACGGGGGGGGGTCCCCGCCTGCCCCCCCACAGCGTCCCCGCGCCTCACCCCCAGCCCGGGCGGCAGGATGAGGTTGCCCACGGTGGCCTTGAGCTGCTCCACGGTGGCCTCGGCGCTGCCACCCGCGTCCCGCGCGGCCACGGGCTTGATGTGCACGCGGAAGCGCCGCGGCTCGTCCTCGTCGTAGTCCGAGTCGCTGGAGGAGCAGGCGCGGGGACCCGCCTCGCCTGCACCGTTGTCAAGGGCACGTCTGGGGCCCAGGCGTCCGAGCCCCTCGCCCCAGGACCCCCTCCCCGCACTGCGCCAGGCAAGGATATTGTGGGTGACGTCGGGGCGCACGGTGAAGCCGTCCTCGTCCACCTCTGGGCAGACCTGCGGAAGATGCTCGGGGACGTGCTCGTCCCCTCCCAGTGCTCCCAGTGCCACCCAGGGGGCTTCCCTGCCCACCCTGGGGTCTCCGCCGCACGCGGCGGGTGCTACTCACCATGTCGGTGTCCGGGGACTCCCTGCGGGGGGACAGAGCAGCGTTAGGGCCTGGGGTGGCAGGGGGGGCGGGAGGCGCGCGGTGGGGGGGGTCTTACCCCGCGTCGCGGTCCCGGTCCCTGCGGCTCAGCCCGGGGATGCGGAAGGCCTTGCTGCGGCTGCGCTTGGGCCCTGGGGGGGCGCGGGGGTGAGCGGGGGGCGCGCGCGGCCCCGGCGGTGCCGGCTGCACCAACGTACTTGCCTTCCTGCGCGGGTGCCAGCCGGTACTCGTCGAAGTCCAGCGCGCCTGCGGCGGCGAGCGGCGTCAGCGGGGACCCCGCACGCACCGAGACGAGCGCGCCAGGCACGCGCAGCGCGCCGAGCACGGCGAGGGCACCAAGCGCGCCAAACGTGCTGCGTGCTTCGAGCACCCTGAGCGCACCAAGCACATCAAGCACACGGAGCACAGCAAACGTGCTGATTGCACCGAGCACACGTGCACCAAACGCACTGAGTGCGCTGAGCACACCAAGCGCACCAAACGTGCTGAGTGCATCGAGCACACCAAACACAGAGTGCACGGAGCACACCAAGTGCTCCAAACGTCCTGAGCACACCGAGCACACCAAGCACACCGAGCACACCAAACGCACTGAGTGCACCAAGCACACCAAACACGGAGTGCGCTGAGCACACGGAGCACACCGAGCACACCAAACATGGAGTGCACTGAGCACACCAAGTGCACCAAACGTCCTGAGCACACCGAGCACACCAAGCACACTGAGCACACCAAACGCACTGAGTGCACCAAGCACACCAAACACGGAGTGCGCTGAGCACACCAAGCACACAGAGTGCACCAAACATGTTGATTGCACTGAGCACAAGTGCACCAAAGACATTGAGTGCACCAAGCACAAAGAGCATGCCAAGCACACCACACGCACTGAGTGCACCGAGCGCCCGCGGCAGCACCCTGGCAGGACGGGGTCCCGCTCACCTGGCCGCTCGCGCCCCGTGCCCTTGCTCTCGGCAAAGCGGCGCAGCAGCAGCTCGGGGCCGATGTTCTCCACATTCTGCTTGAACTCCTCATGCACCTGCAGGGCATATAGGGATGGAGCCGCTGCGGTGGGGACAGCGCAAGGCCACCCCGATGGCCCCATGTCCCTGCACCCACCTGCCCGATCTGCACGTGCGTGTCCTCCACCGAGTGCGAGTAGGAGCCGATGAGCCCCTTCATGTGCCGCAGATGGGCTTCCTCCACCTCCTGGAAGTGCTGCGGGCCCGAGGGGCGTCAGGGGGACACCGCGGCGCCCGCGTGTCCCCCCCAGAGCCCGGCACCCACCATGGCCGAGTCCAGCATCCGCTGCTCGAAGTCAGCGCGGGCCGCGTTGTACTTGTCCACGGTGCGGCGCAGCGCCTCGCCCGCCTTCTTGGACTTGAGCTCTGCCTGCGGGCGCAGGGCAGGCGCTGGGGACGCGGGCGGCGCGGCGGGGACGCGCGCGGTGGGGACGCCGCGGGGTCCGTCTCACCTTGTCGATCTCCTTCTGGCTGGTGCCCTCCTTGCGCAGCCGCTCGTACTCCTGGCACTTGCTGTGGTAGCTCTCCTTGGACTTGGGCAGCAGCTGGGCCACCCCGTGCAGCAGCTGCACGGCCTCCAGCGTGCCGGCCACCTCCTCCTTGGACTGCGAGGGACACCGCGGTGGGCACGGGGGGGCCAGGGGCCGGGCACACGCCGGGGTAGGGGGGTCCCTGCGGTACCTTCTTGTGCACGCGGCCCTGCTCCTCGCCGTAGCGCGAGATCTCCTTGATGAGCTCGTGCAGCTTCTTCATGAGCTCCAGGTGGCACAGGGCCAGCTTGTCCGAGGAGATGCGGAAAACCTCCCAGAGCGGCGCGAACGTCCTGGCGGCGCCGCGGGGCCTGAGCTGCGCCGCGGCGGCCCCGGCTCCCGCCACCGGCCCCGGGCACCTCTGTGTCCCCTGTCCCACCACCGCTTACCCCAGCTGGGTGCCGTTGGTGGCCATCTTGGAGAGCTTCACCATGGCCTTGGCGTAGTTCTCCTCCACGGTGGCCCTGGGGATGGCACGGGGACAGCTGGGCAGCCATCCTGGGGTGGGGGGACGCAGCCGGGGCCCCCCGCGCCAGCCGGTACCTCTCGCGGACAAAGTCGGCCAGCTCCTTGGTGGAGATCTGCCCATGCTTCATGTTGTGGTAGAGCACATCGAAGCCGTGGTTCTTCTCGCCCTGGAGGGGACAAAGCGGTGGCGAGGAAGAGGAGACTGGGGCTGCACGCAGCTGCCCACCCCTGGCACGGCCTGCAGGACGCCTGGGCCCGCCACCCACCTCCCAGCCCGACAGGAAGGGGTGGGCTGAGCCCGCACTCCTGGGCTCTATTTCGGGCACCGTGGGGGTGGCTCTTCCCCTCCGGGGGTGCCAAGTTGCCCCTGGGGAAACTGAGGCAGCACCAGGAAGCAGCCGACAGACGCTGCAGGGACAAGGGGACCTGGAGCTGCAGGCATTGGCCGGGTCCTGCTCTGGAGTGACACCGGGAAGCGCCAACAGCGCCGCGTGCCGCAACTTCCCTGCCTGGGGATCCCCGCGGGCCGGCGCCCGGTTCCCCTTTCGGCCTCGCGGGCGCCCAACCTCCCTGCTCAAGTGCCAAGCGCTGCCGCGGGTCCCGCGGGCTGCCCCGCAGGGACCCAGCAGCGCCCACCCATGCAGCGGCACCCAGGGGTGCCGGCACTTACCCAAAAGTGCTCGGCGAAGTAGGACATGGTGGCGGCGCCCGGGGTGGGGGCCGCTCGCCGCCCCCGCGCTCAGCTCCCGGCACCCTGCGACAGAGCCGCAGTCCGACCCTGCACCCAGAAGGGCCACCCGGACGCCTGGGCCCTCCTGCCGGGGTGCCAGCATGGATGGAGCATTCCAGGCCCTCCTCCGTCCCCCCAGATTTCCTTGGTGGCAGCAGCACATCCCGGGAGTTTTGGGGGACACTGAGCATCACCAGCTGGGACGCGGGGAGGAGGGGCTGTTCCGGCAGGGCCCCCCGCATTTTTGATTGATTTTCACGGGAATTCATCTCACAGACGCGGAGCTGCAGTGTCCATGGAAACCGTGCGCCATGCACCCGTGCCGTGCACCCGTGCCAGCTGCACCCCAGCACCGTGCACCCATGCCGTGCACCCGTGCCACGCACCCACGCCAAGCGCCAGCGCCACGCACGGCGCCGTGCCCCCACGGCGAGCGCGCGGCCCGTGCAGCAGCCCGGCGCGGAGCCCCGGGCCGTGCACCCGCAGGGCGCCCCCGTGCCCGGCGCGGCGGGTGCCAGGCACCCCGGGGCCGGCCCGACACCAGATACGCAGCTAAATAATAAATGAGCGGCGGCCGCGCGCGGTCCCTCCTGTCGACCGCGGCGCCCTGAGTGTCGGGGCCCAGGAGTCCGGCTCCCTCCCGCCCACCACGGGGCTCCGGTCCCGGGGAGCAGAGGGCGACGCAGCCGGGTGCTCAGTGCTGGCGGCTGCTGCACCCGCACGGGGCCGGCGCCCCGGGGCCCGCTGAGCCGCGGGAGCAAAACAGGAAACCAGAGAGCTCCGGCACGGCGGGGGGGGACGGGGGGGAATGATTTTCTTCCTACCCCCGCGTCGCGCCGGGCTTGTTGGGATGCCGGGGGTCAGAGCAAGGGGCTGGGGGACACCAGGCCCCCTGGACTCACCCTGTGCTGCTGGGGGGCACCGCGGGCCCCCCCGCGCATCCTCGGCACGCTGGCCACCGCCGCAGGCTCTGCAGGGGGAAACGGGGGTTACGGAGCAGCCCCCCCGGCCCCCGACACCCCCCAGCTCCGGCGGCCGCCCTGCACCGAGCGCGGGAAGCGCCGGGGCAGGGGCCTGGCCGAGCCACCTGTGTCACGAGCAGGGCGGGCTCAGCCGAGGGCCCCAGCGCCACTTCCCCTGACAGGCGCCCCGGGCAGCAGTGCCCCGTGGCGAGCGGGCCCAGGCGTTCGGGGACCTGCAGCGGTGGCGGCAGCGCCGGCGGGGGCAGCAGCGGGACCCCAGACTCCCAGTTCCAGCCTGGGGCAGCGCTGGGGGGGCTCACGGCCCCTTCCCACCCCGCTGGCTGCTCGTCCTGCCCCCCGCCCGGGGTGACGGCGGCGCGGGAGCCACCGTCGCAGGATGCTCCTGCAGCCGCAAGGGCGCTGAGGCGCCTTGAACTCATCGCACCCAACGCGCAGAGCTTGCGGGGCCAAAGTCCCGGCCAAAGCCCTGAGATGGCAAAAGGCACCGAGGGCCACCAATGTCCCCGGGCAAGATGGGGGACAGCTGAAGGGCCCAGGCCCGGCGGGGGGTGCAGAGGGACACACGCAGCAGGTGGCAGCGGGCGGGGGGTCCCTGCACGGTCGGGGCGCTGCAGAGCCGTCCTCGTGGGGAGGGGGCATCCCGTCCCCGTGGGGCCCCCGTGCGGATGCCGTGACCTTCAGCGGCCGGACGGCGCTCCGGAACGTGACGGGACGGACACGGCGGCGCCGAGGGGCGGGGGGACCAGGTGATGGCCCCCCCCCCGCCTCACCTGGCGCTATGGGGGGGCAGAACCGGGGGGGCTGCCCCGTCCGCGGCGAGAGGGTCTCGGCCGCGGGGACTCCTGCCCCTGCCGGGGGGCCGATGCTCAGCGGGGTGCGGGGCGGGGGTTGCGCCCTGTGCGCCCCCATGCAGCGGGGTGGGGGGGGCGCTTGCAGCGCCGCGTTCAGGCGATGCCCCCGGGGCTGCTGCAAGGGGGGGGTCGCACAGAGGTGCCCCCCACCCGTGGTCCGC